TAAGCCTTCCGTCCAAAAAGATGAGAGGAGAGTCCATATTTTTTAATTCCCATACTATCCTTATAATAATTATTCGAACAACTTTAACCCTCTTCTCGTTTTTTATACATTTTATCACCTTATTTCTCTCCTGCAATAAAGGGATTTTCTCGAATTACAATGGCAAAGTAGCAAGGACATCTCCCTCACGAGTTTCAACTGCACGGAATTTTTCCTTCACGAGTTTCAGCCGCAAGCTCCATTTACAGTAGCAAGGGTCATCTCCCTCACGAATTTCTATCGCATGAGATTTCTACCTCATGAGTTTCAGTTGCAAGGAGATGTACAGAGTCGGGAAGCTCTGGAAGGCATCGAAATCTAAACCTGTGCTACCGTTTGCCACTGGAGCAAAACAAGACGTGGGCCTGGGGCATGGAGGTTGGACCCACCATTTGGTTCTGTTGCTGGTGATTGTCTAACAGGAACGCCGACGTGTTGAGAGTCGGCAAGCAGCCCTGCAACGGAGTACCGGGACGTTGAGGTTCTGGTTTAAAGATGGGACCGGGGACGGGCGAGTTGCCAAACTGGACGCCGGTGACCTGTTGCACCATCTGGCGGAAGTTGGCGGGGTCGGCCATGATGAAGGTGGTGGGAGACAGCTTCAATGCCTAGGACTTGCGCTTTGAGATCTTTCCAGTGGCGGCGGGGGCAGTGTTCCGACACTTCGTGGCCATTTCGGGCTCCGATCATGAGCCCGTTGGTGTTGGCATGGTTTCGGGCTTGATGAGGTTGAAGATGGAAGCGGCCGAGTTGGTATCTGCTGCTATTGTTAGCGTGTCAGAGTCGTTGGAGAGAGACTTCTGCAGAGACTTGGTTAGGGTTTCGGTGTCACGGAGGAAAGCGTTGGAGACCCACGAGTCGGTGAAGGTCCGGAAAATCCACGACTCGAGGCTCGCCAAGTTATCAGAAGATGCCACATACTCCCTTTATCTTTCTCGCCTAGTCGCAATTCGAGTGCAATTCCAAGCGAAAATAGAAATGACAGAAATAACAAAACCTCTCACTACATAGTTTCGTTATTTGGATGAAATTCACCAGAAAATCAATGAATTTGCTGATTATGGCGGGAAGCTAGTTGTACTCGAACTGGTTAGACACCTGGAACACGTAGATCTAAAGGAGGGTACAAGTAAAGCCAGAAATCCAGGGAAAATATGAAGCGCGGAAAATAGAGAGAATAGAAAGTAGTTCATAATTCGATGAAGCTGAGATGAATTACAGAGCCTAAGAACAGTTCTGAAAGCAATGTAAAACCTAGAGGAAATACCTCAAATCAAAGCGAATCTAAGGAGAATTTGCATGAGGAAACTTCAGAACAAAGCTCAATGAACGACTAAGGAGAATTTACATGAGGAAACTTCAGAACAAAGCTCAATGAACGACGAAGAGTCGGAGGAAACCACTCCACCCTCCGAAGAGAACTAACCACAAAAGATGAGAACCAGGGAAGTGTATGTGACAGTATATATTGAGAGAGAGAGAGGGGGGGGAGGGAATAAATAAGAGAAGAAGCACAGAAAGATAAGAGAGAGAGAGAGGAGAAATGAGCATTAAATCGAGGAGGCCGCCCGTCCCCGGTTCCATCCTTAAACCAAAACCCCAATGTCTCGGTACCCGGTTGCAGGGCTGCTTGCTGACTCTTGACACGTCGGCGTTCCCGTTAGACCATCACCAGCAGCAGAACCAGATGGTGGGTCCAACCTCCATGCCCCAGGCCCACGTCTCGTTTGCGCCGGTGGCAAACGATAACACAGGTTTAGATTTTGACGCCTTCCCAACTCTGGAGTCGTGGAGAGTAAGGGTCATTTCCCTTACTGTTTTATTATTTTTCCAGACCATAGATCCATTTTCTTCTATAATTATCTTTACAATGCACTTTTGTTTTCTCTAGAAGCAATTTCTTCGTATCCATAAGAAAAAAAGAGCAAAAAAAAAGAAAATAGAAAAAGTTTAATGAAGCATTTTAGTAATTTAACATTTTCATTTGGTTTAACCGTCAAAGGGTTTTTGTCTAACGGTTAATGTTCAGAAGGTCTTTACTGCAAAAAAAAAAGTATCAGGGAGATTTTGTCACTGATTTACAAGGGGGATTTTTATAATTTATCTTAAAAAACTTAGGGTAAAATATAGAAACCTCTCCTAAAGTTTTTGATAATAAGAAAAATCTCCCCTTTAATTTCATTTTAATAAATACCTTCCCTAAACTTTTAAAAAATCCAACAAAATCTTCCCTTCTATCACTAACCCAGACGAAAAATATACAAAGTTACCCCTGACATTTGTCATTTAAAATATTTTTAAAAATCAAAATTATCCTCATTCGAGAAACAACACATTCACCATTTTTTACATTCTTTTTCAAATCAAAAGAAAATAATGTATGGCTGTGACAATGCAAAGAAGTCAAAACGGAACTGAGCAGCTTGGTAGTAAATAAGGGGATCCCGGAGGGCATTGGGTTTCGGCGGTTGAAGCCTATTTTCAGGTGGCCGGCGTAACAGGCACAGAGACTACTAAAGGAGTGTTTCTAACATATTTGAGGAGCTACAAGTCAGCACTGTAGCTGTGGTGAGGTCCGCTGGAGTGCCGTCCTCCAGCTGCAGCGACGTCCCAAAGTGACTGAAATTTTCTTTATTCAGTATACCATGGAGTGTTGTGGAGAAAAAACGATTGATTTCAATGACTGAAATTAAAGTAACGACGATAATAGAGAAAGAAGACCAAAGTGAGAGAGAACTGAGAGTGCTGTCTTCCAGTTGCAACGACGTCCCAAAGCAGTTGATAAAGCGAGTAGATTCTAATATTCTATGCAGGATTATGCAACCTTTATTAGGGTTTGGAATGCGTCTATCGAACAAATTAAACAAAGAAAACCATTAAAAAACCATATATATATATATATAGGGATCCATATGTCCATTACGAATTTAATAATAAAAAAAAAAACTCAAATTGCTTCATCCCTAACAAAACAGAAAGGTCCTCCAGAGAGCCCTCAAACTCCAATGAAAGATGAGATTCACTTCACACCTCTCTTACAATTAGATAAACACTAGGCACATTCTTTTAAACTCTTTTTTGGAGCTTACAGAAAAGGACGGAATTGGAATTGGGTCGAGTATAGAGTCTAGGGCACCACCCTTTGTGACATAAGGTAGATTATAGACAAATGGTGTCTATCAGGGCCACGTGGCAAGGTAAGATTTCCTTAAATACCGATACCGTCATGTATTCGCCCAGGTGTCACATTATATTTATATAAATATTCATGCATAAGAGACTCGTCATAAATTGAATGCAAATACAACGCAAACAAATTGAGAAGATGCCGACTGCATTGGCAGTTTGCTGGTCATTCCTAGTTCCCTCCACATATTGGGATAAGGGTGCTTGTGGTCTCAATGATGTCTACTGGTGATACATTAGGGCTAGCTGCATCTCTTGAAAAGCAAAAATGCATGCGAATATGCTCTAATATCCATATAGCATCCAGAATATCTTCTGCACGCACTTATATATGTTAAATTGCCATGTCATAATAAGTCTGGATACATTGATGCCCAAGTCCTTGCCGTTATTCTGACATTAGTTTTTCTTTTTTAAATTCTATGTATTCATGATATATAGTAGTAGGCCAATCATAATGTAGCATGTCATATTTGTATACAATATTAGTTTGATGTATTAAGATCACGCGTGGCTTGTCATGATTGGTATTAATTCACCCAGCAATGCATCCAGCACCAGTTACAAAGAGTTTGTTTGAAGTACGCCATCATGCAGATACAGAGAGTCTTGTTGATGGCCTAGGTTGTTAGGGCTGTTTACGGGTTGGGTTGGGTTGGTTTATTGATGTTTTTTCCAATCAATTCAATCTGGTTAGTTTACCTAGAATTGAAATCGAAATGATTAATTAAAATCGATTTGGTTGGTTTGAGTCGGTTTTGTAAATAATTCTTTCATGTGAATGGTAAAGGATTCAAGTCTAAAAAGCAAAGGTTGGATGCTTAGAAATTAAAAATGATTTGATGGATTAAAGTTGAAATTTTATATATAATATGTATATTTCCGAAATAAAGTTGTATATATATATATAATATCTGAAATATATTATATATATAATATATATCTAAGTTGGTTCGGTTTCGGTTTTCACACATGAAAACCGAAATCGAAACCGAACCCAAACCAAACAATTATTTTATGTTTTTTTTGTAACTCGAAACCGACTGGTGCTGAAGAAAAACATGCTGATTCGGGTTGGATCGGACTGGGTCTTGTTATGAACAGCCCTACAGGTTGTTAATTTTAGACAACCAAAATGTCATAAGGTCTTCGGTCTACCTAGAGGATTCAGTCTTATTTTTACATCAAGATTCGAGTTTTGTGCCAGTGTTTGGAAAACTCATGGTTTTTAAAATCGACCCTAAGACCAGATCGGTTAGGGGTCCGATTATCGGGTTGAACGATCTAATCATTCGAACCGAATGCTCGGTTTGTTTTGACAAAAAATTAAAAAAAAATAAAAAATGGTCAAAATGATTAACTGCCTGATTCAACGATTCGCTAACCAAAGTCAACGGTTTTGAAGGAAAATGGATGACCGATTCCCAAAACCATCGAAAAACTTACACGGTTGTGGTTATACACGGTTGTTGATTAATGGTAGGACCGTAGGAAAAAAAAATTGGCTACCAAATATGTTTTTTGAAAAAGTTAGACATGTATTGCTGAGGTGCCGTAAAGCATTTCTGTGGTTATATATGTGAAAGATCATCCTCATTATCACCAAATATGATTTTTTCACCCACTTAGTGTAGTAGATCCGGACTCAAAATGCATCACATGGTAAAAGCTCAGTACACACAACAAAACCAGACAGCACACCGCAACAAATGCAACACTGATTTAGGGTCTATACTTCTGGTTTGCTAAGTGGTGTGTCCCGTACATTTATTTTTGGGACGATCTATCATCTAACCGTTGGACTGGTGAAAGAAGGGATCATCTTGTAAGCATGAGAAGATGCTTTAAGCTTTGAGATTGGAATCTATGTAAACCAACGGCAGGCATTAATAGATCAACATTCCAGACTGAACGGAAGTGCACCACACAAGTGCATCAGGTCCCGACTCCGATAAATCATCTTCCTTGGTAAGTTAGTATTCTCGCCAGCCCACTGACACTGAGAACGCAAACTCTCCACCGCTACCGGTGACACAGTGAGTTATGCTCGGCTATTCTCTTTCTATTCATTCACTCCAATCCAAATCCTTTCTTTTTTTTTTTCTTATTCATTTGTTTTTTTTTTATGGATAATTTTGATTTGAATCAAATTTTTACAGGCGAGGTAGGCAAAAATGGTGTTCAAAGTTTATCGTGTAGAAACTACTCCTTTCGATGGGCAGAAACCAGGGACTTCTGGCTTAAGGAAGAAGGTAATCTATGTCGAGTTAATCACTATCCTTATTCTCAGCATTTTTGTTTTTCTAATTCTTTTCTTGATTGCTGGTAGATCTGTCTTCTGGATCTTCTTCTCTTTTAGGATGGGCATCAATTTTTGGTCTTAGATGCTTTTTTTGGGTGCATTTTATCAGCTTGTTGAAGTAGACACGCTGATCTCGTCCTTTCTGGTCGAGCCTCTGCATTTGAAAATCCGTGATTTTGTATTTCATTCATATGTTTATGTTTTATTGATCCAATGGTTACTTTGTTTGGAATCTGATGGTCTCGGTTTAATTGTTCTCTCAGCTGCATATCAGTGTTGAAGCTTATCTTGTTGCAATTTTCATTTGTACTGTTTCTTTTTTCCAATTATGGTGGCTTTATTAGCTTTTCTTTTTATGATTTGTTTTGATACATATTCTGACCGGCAGTATAAATATATTCTCTTTCAATAAGATACTGCTTATTTCCGATGAACAATGACAAGATGTAGTTTATAATTTGTGTGGTTTCGCTTCATAAGTTGTTATTCATTTGAAGGTGCCAATTGACTCAGTTGACAAGGTAGGTCTCTGGTTGGTTATCGCGGAGACTCGGGATTGACTTCCGTCCATAGTTTGGGGGATGGGCTACCCCCGCCTTCACCAGTCCGAAAGAGCACAGACTGACTTTCTAATGAAGCTATAGTGGAATTGCCTGTAATATGGCATGGCTGTCGAAAAACTTCTACAATAAATGAAATCTGACTCTGATCCCTGGCTATCAATTCACAATTGGGTATCTTGTACTCATTGGGGTAGGTTCAGAGCGAAGGTTAACAACCTTGATGTGGACCTGACAGACAGGCGGATGAGTAGGACCTAATTTTGCTTCCTCTCATGCTTCTTCCCTTTTCCATTGTTTTCTCTAACTTTAAGAATAGAAAATAGAAAGGTGAAAAATTGAAAATTTAACCTTTTGTTTTCTTCCTATTTTCTTTTCCATTTTGGTTTCCTTTTGTCAATGAAACTTTGGAAAAGCAGTTTCTTGTAATATTTTATTTCTTCAATTTTCTTCAAACCAATTGCAGCATTAGTGGGGAACACTAATACTGTTTGCAGCATTCGTTTGGAGCCCAAAAGGCTTTTGTTTGGTCCTTTTCCCACCCCCAATGCATGGAACAAATTTTGGTCCAAAAGACCTTGTGACATGTTCAACCTATGTCCTTTTTTATGGGTATTTTAAATTAGTTTTCTTTTGGTAAGTGGTATTTTAAATTAGATTTGAAGGGCCATTATTAGTCAGACAAAATACAAGGCTGGTATAGGACTGATGTTTACTGCAGGAGTGAAGACATGGCCGGCCGGTACAGAATGTCCTCTATCTGATGAATGGTTTGGATTGGTCACAAGATTCCTCCATTTGTCAGAAAAGGCCAAAAGGGGTTTGGTCATCCAAGGAACTTCCGATCCTTACTTGACTCAATTAGAACTACTTAACAGCATTCTTTTACTTTAGAAAATACAAAACTGATGACATGCTTTTTCCCTATTTCTTCTAATTTAGTGTCTCATAGTTGTAAACTTACATTGGTGATATATATTTCAGGTGAAGGTGTTTATGCAACCTAATTACTTGCACAATTTCGTTCAATCAACATTCGATGCACTATCAGCAGATAAAGTGAAAGGTGAATACCTTATTCCTTTTGAGATATCTTCCACATGCAGCCTGATAATATGATTTTGTTGTGGGAGACATTTGCATTTCTTGTGCAGCAAACAGGGACAAATTTCTGCCAGGCTTCAAAGTTTCGATACCTATTGGGCCGTATTGGGGGCTTCTCGATACGCCCCTACAGTGGGTGTTTTGGGTCAGACCGTGGTCCGGGGGGTAGACGGGCCTTAAATCGACCCCTCAACCAGATTGAAAAAAAACTAAAAAAAATGGAGAAGCGAGCCTTGATACAGGCTGATACGCATGGCTATTGGGTCAGACCGTGGTCTGGTTTGAGCTTCTTCAGCTGCATGGCTACCGCATAAACAGTTCTATTCAAGATCATTGAAGATACAATAATAAAATGTTTAGCTATTGATTGAAAAAAAATAACAGATCTATCAAAGAAGACAGCTATTGCATAAATATGAAAGAATATCTTCTTAGTGCAGATATGGTACTATGGTAGGTTTACATAATGAAATATCTTCAGCTGGTGTGTGACGTGTGTCTTGTTAAAGCAAATATGTAACATATCATATTTTCTTCTAGCTCTTCAAATTTTCTCTAGCTGTGTAGTAATTGCATATAATTTAAGCTTGAATGGTAAAGGAAAAAAAATCTTTGATGGTTCATTGGTCGAAAAAGAGTTCACTAAGCCAACATTGACAATAAGTATTCTAAGTGTAGTGGATGAAGTGGATTTGGAAAAGACATTGGATTACATGAACTGGAACTTCATAGTTCATATTATACATGCTGATAGGAACAGAATTGGGAGTAAAGATGGAACGAATCAATATTTGAATCTTCACCTCTTTCTTTGAAGTGTTGACAATTGGATGTCTGGCAGCTTTACTTGCAATATTTAGAGAATTAAGGCAAGGGAACTTTTTCACCATTTTTATTGATTGCCATTACAAAAGTGCTTAGCAGGATGGTGGTGAACTGGTGCATGGTGGCAAAATATTAGATGGTTTTATGGCTAGTGGGAGATGCCTTCTATTTACTTCCCCAAGTTCAAATGATTGCATCTACTTCTGCAAGGAATCTAATGAAAAATGACACCTTGGTTGATTGGCTTGGCTATCAGGCTATGTTCAGTTGCATCAGATGGTGGACAGCAGGTAGGGTTGCAGGCACCTGGGCTTGGACAGCAGAGAAGTAATTGGCAGTTCAAGGGATTTCTGTCTGAAAAGGCACAATTGAGAATTGTGAGAAGTTCTAGAATTTCATGGTGTGACTTGACAAGCTTTCTTTGAAGAATTTCATAACTTATATTGAGTGGCAGAAAACAAATATGCATTAGTAAGCACATATTATGAGCTCGTAGCAGTGCAAACAGTGTGATATTCCCATTTTGGAAGACTTCCTATGACTGGAGGTACTCGTTGATGATATTCTGACCACACCTTTTGATTACCATGACTGGAGGTACTTGTTGATGGGCGTCTACATTTTTTTCTTGATTTTTATTGGTGATGGGCATCTACAATATTCAGCAATATACAGAATTAGTTCTTTAAATCCTTTGTGCATTTCTGATGTTCGCTTGCTTATTCTTGAAGCTTGTGCAAAGTGGAAGATGAATTTGATGCCTTACGTGGTTATTCATATGAAAGGGAGACGATTCTAGAAATTTTGACAACAAGAGGAGAATACTTTGGAATTCCCCCTCCTTTGGGGAAGTTGATCCTTTGAATTAATCCCCTAAGAAAATGAGTTCCTTAATCAGTCATGCCATATGCTTTTTTCTCATTGATACAGTTTTTTACTTGTTTGTACACTTGTGATACACTATTTTGGTAGGTAGGTGGAGAAAATTTCAGTTTGTACACTTGTCATACACTATTTTGGTAGATATCTGTTGACGTTATAAATTAAAGGTCAGAATATATATAGCTGAGCTTCAATTGGATGAAACCCCATTTCTCTTGGGTTCAAGATTGTAAATTGTATTTATGTTTATAGTATAATGGGCAGCTTATGATTTTGTGGACGAACTGATCCTTATAACTTGCAACCAGTTTTAAATTTAGGGGCTTTACAACTTTTTGATTTCTCCAATGTAATGTATTCATTTGACATTTTTTTTTTTTTTTATTAGAGCTTTTTATAGCTAAGCTTTCTTTCTCTTGTTCTGTTATTTTTTGAGTTTAATCAAATTTAATCTTTTTTTTCTTGGTTTGATGAAATTTAATCATCATGGGGTAGGCTCTTATTCATTTCTTATAATTCATAACCGCTTGTTTCTGCATCCCAGATGCTACCATTGTTGTTTCTGGTGATGGTCGCTATTTCTCAAAAGATGCCATTCAGGTATGTTTCTCGTTAAAGAGAAGCAGATTTTCATATGCTTCCTTGCTATTTGTTGATTATCTAATATTTTTCTGCATGACTTGATGTCATGCCCTTCAACTATTGTTATTACCTCTATCCTCTTCCTCCATTTTTGAGCTAGGTAACTCTAGCTGAAGCAAGTGATTTATTGTAGAATGAACTGATTGTCAATCTTATATCTAATTTTGTAGCTTAATCATGCAAAATTTCAGTATTCTTAAGCATCTTCTCCCAAGGTTTCTTTTGTTGATTTACATTTTTGTGTAGATAAAATTTGTTGGTTAACATTAGGTATCACCATAATATCCTTGCTTTGTTGGTGGTGGGGTGTGGTTTTTGTCACAGTTTTAATTTATTTCCTTGTTATATGGTGAACTTGTTAAATTTTGTGGAGATAGGTTTTCTAAAATGAGATGCACTGACAGTTGGTGTGGATCAGAGTGTACGAGTTTGGTTTGGCTATTTGATCAAACTAAGTTGAAAAATAGTATCATAGTCTGGGAACTGTATTGGATACCTCCAACTGAAGGTTTTGTGAAACTGAACTTTGACAGGAGAAGTCAAGGTAATCTAGGCCCCTCAGGTATTGGAGGGGTATTGAGAGATTCAGAAGGTCAAATTGTAGCTCTATTCTCAGGTCCCGTGGGTTTGGGTGACTCTCTGAAAGCAGAGTTGCTTGCAGCAGTACAAGGAGTGCAGATTGCAAATGAGCTACAGCTAGCAAATGTGGTAATAGAAGGGGATTGAAAAATGGTGGTGGGGTGGCTAAATGATCCATACTCTGTAATTTGGTGCTACAGGAATGAAATGAAGAAGTTTGAGTGGCTCACTAGAAACATGAATATCAGGATACAATGGTTGAGGAGATCAGAAAACGGGATGGCAGACGCATTGGCTAAGCAAGGGGTGAATAGGGATAATTTGTTTTGGGGGAGGCTTGTCTGACACAAAAAAGAATAGCACTTTCTTTTATTATTGGGGCTGATGTTCCAACTGTTTTCCCTTGTACAACCAAGCAATGGAATATAAAATTTGTGCACCCAGTTTTCCTTTCTCATTCCATTCCATTCCATCCTTTCCAAGTCCAACCAGAATCTTCCTGCAAACCAAACGTAGCCCTGAGTGAGAACATCAAAGTCACATGACACCTCAATTTTAAAGACAAATGACCCTATTGGGACACTAAGAAAAGAAACAAAAGGATAATATAAAGTAAAAGTCATTTAATTCTTTAACTTGGACTTCTTTATAGGTTCATCCTGGACTAGTAATCAATAGCCAACTGGCTGCATCAATCAGTTTCAACATAATAACAATGTAAACTGCATGACTCAGTGGTATTTTGATTTCAAAGTTTAATTTTGTTTTATTTTATATCCTACTCTTGAATGCTAAACGATTTTGTGTTTGGTTGGATCATAGGCAAAGTGGCAAACTAGGTTGAACTGAACTGGTGACATTTTCTGCCACTACTTGTTCTGGTTAAAATATTTCTGGAAACATGTATCTTTGTTTCCCTTGACTACATCTTTTCTCACCTGCTACTAGAAAAGAATAGGTGCTTGTATATGCTTGTAGTTCTAGATGGTGTGCTTTATTGTAGGGGTGGATATTGGGCTGTCTTCCCCGCACACTAAGCCCTGAGGGCTTGGCATTTTATGCCATGGTCAGGTCCAGCCTGATCCACCAGAGGTCTGAATGAAGTCCAGGATGGGTTGCTTCAGAGATGTTGGGGCCCACATGGGCCCAGATGAGCCTGCTTCTATATATGTTGCACTGATATGTCAGACTGCTTTTTATACTTGTACAAAGTTGTCCTGTAGTCTAGTTTGTCTTTGTTTTAGGTTTTCACAATTTTGACTTGGGTTGAAGTCCACTTTATTTTATTAGGAACATCAATCAGAGTTTGTTCATGCAGGAGAGAAATCTCCCTACCATCCAAAGAGATTGGAATGAGGTGGATCAGTACATGAACAGCCAAAACTTACACAAATCAAACAAATCATAATATAAAGCAGGATTACATGTTCAACCCCAGGCCTGGTGCCGCCAAACCAGCTCATCTCTACTTATCCCTTCAGACCTTCTATTGCTAAAGAATCAGCTAGACTGCTGGCATATTCAGGGATCCACTGAAGCAGATTTAGCCATCCAATGCCACATTCATTTAATTTTTTTTTCTTGAGGTTGTGGTAATTTATGGTAGAAAACAAATACTGGGAAACAAAATTTAGTTTTCACTGCAAATGGGGTGAAATTATAGGTGAGATATTTCACATTAAAAACTTTTCTGCCCCTTCTATGATGAAACAAATGAGATAATTGCAAGCAAATACTGTGTTATTATAGATATAAGTAAAATTTAACAGTGTATATAAAATTGTAATTATATTAACTACCATATAACTTTATAACTAAATAATTATCTGTGGCCCAGGCAGTGGTTTGCAGGCCTGGTATTCTGCTCAGGCTTCATGGCTGGGGTTTGACCAACTCAATATATCCTCTATACCAAATGCTATGCCTGGCCTGAGTATCTATTTTCATGCTATCTAGTCTCTCTATGCATCATGCATATCCTAGAATGCTTATAGGAACTCCATGCCATGTTTTAACTATGAATTTGTTTTTTCTTTCTTTCCTGTTTTTTGAAATTCGCAGATTATTATTAAGATGGCAGCTGCAAATGGAGTAAGACGTGTGTGGGTGGGACAAAATGGATTACTGTCAACTCCTGCTGTATCAGCTGTAATCCGTGAACGAGTTGGGGTAGATGTAAGTTGACCTATCTGTGTTCATTTGGTTTTGTTTTGTAAATGGTGTTGACTTTTGGAGTTGCAATCTTGCCAATTTTTCTAAACAAATATATATTATTTTGACTATTCATCAATAAATTTTTAATTTCAGGGGTCCAGGGCATCGGGAGCTTTTATATTGACAGCAAGTCACAATCCTGGTGGGCCACATGAGGTATGTGTTGGGTGATCACTACTGACCATAAGTTTTTGCTCTTGAAAGGGAGCAAATGGAACCCACCATATTTCCTTTTTCTCTTGAAAGCTTTGTGGTCAAAATGAGAAATTAGCATGGATCATCTTGCATCCTGGATTTTGCAAAATAAAGGCAGTATAACCATCCTGGATTAGATCCAATCCGATCCAAACCTTATCAAATCAGATTTGGGCAGTCCATTATAATTATTGGATTGGGCCAATTCAAAATAAATTGGTCCATATTCTTATTGGTCTGAATTGGACCTAAACCAAATTTCCAATAATCCGATCATGAGGTCAAATTCTTGTCCAATTTGAAACCAATCAAAACTGAAGCCAGCATAAAATCACTTTTATGAAAGTACTTTTATGAAAGCACTTTTACAAAAACACTTTTACAAAAGCACTTTTATAAAAGTAATTTTATGAAAAGTACTACGAAAACACTTTTACAAAAGTACTTTTATGAAAGCACTTTTACAGAAGCAGTTTTATAAAACCACTTTTACGAAAGCACTTTAATAAAAGCACTTACAAAAGTAATTACGAAAGCACTTTTATAAAAGTACTTTTACACGAAAGCACTTTTATAAAAGTACTTTTACACGAAAGCACTTTTATGAAATCACTTTTACAAAAGCACTTTTATGGAAGTACTTTTATAAAAGCACTTCTACAAAAGCATTTTTATGGAAGTACTTTTATAAAATCACTTTTATGAAAGAACTTTTACAAAAGCACTTTTACAAAAGTACTTTTATAAAAGCACTTTTACAAAAGCATTTTTACAAAAGCACTTTTATGAAAGCACTTTAGCACTTCTATGAAAGTACTTTTATAGTTTTATAAAAGTACAAAAACACTTGTATGAAAGTACTTATACGAAAGCACTTTTATGAAAGTACTTTTACAAAAGTGTCTTTTCAATGCCAAAAGGGTATATTTTTGTAATTTTCAGATTTTCTTCATTTTGATATATTTTTGTAATTTTTTATATGTCCTGTTTTTTTATATAATTTTTGATGTTTTGATTGGATCCAATCCAGTCCATTTGTATTAGATTTGGACTGGATTGGGTCTAGTCCATTTGTAAGTGGACTCACATTGGACTGGATCGGGTTGGACCAAATCCAGTCCAATTGACACCTCTACCAGAATCCTCAGAAGACATGGTACTTGTTCGCAGTTCAGTCACAATTCAGTCAAGGTACTAGCTCTCAGTTCAGTCACAGCTCACAGTTCAGTCAAGATATTAAAATTTAGTCCAGTCACAGTTCTAGGCACAAATTAGTTCTTGTTCTCACACAGCATAGTCAAATCTGATCACACAACATCACTTGTTCTCAGATTACCACACTACTGAATCAGTTCAGATAAAAACATATCGGTATCAGGTCTGACCAATCCCTTCAAGCAATAATTCACCAATTTTTGCCACACGATCACTGTAGTTTTAATAGGAACTAAGGGGAAAAAAACTGCTGTCACAGCAGTTACAGAACATGCAGACCTGAACAGCCCACCTTTCAGGGCTCAAAAAAAAAAAATAAAAAGATCACTCGATCCATATAGGCTGAGAAGAAACACTTCCACAGCAGCCACAAGTCATTAGACCTACATAATCCACTCACCTGGGTACAGAAGGATCAATCGATCCACTAAGTTGAGAAGAAAAAAACAATCGGGAACACCCTTCACAGCATTTAGCTTCCCTTTCCTTGGTGTTTTCTGGGCCCACGACCAAGAGGGAAAAGGAAGAACTACACAGCAAGTCTCCTCACATCAACTAGATGTACCTTTTCTTTGGATTTGATCCACAATAGACAAAAGAAAAAACTGGAGGAAGAAAAGGACTGATCTCACTGCTCCTATTTTCTTGGTAAACACAGCAGAATATCAGAACAGTGAGAGAAGAGAGATGAGAAAAGAGAGGAGGGGAAAAAGTTTTGGAGTCAAAAACATAGATCCTTTTTGTTATTTATATTAGGGTGAACCCCTCTAATAATAAAAGAAGATAAAATTACATATGTGCCCCTGCAGCACTAAACTAAAGAAAAGACTAACATATTCAACACACTTATTCCTCCATTGCCCAGTTGCTGCGGAATTGTGGAGTCATTATCTCTCTTCTGTGGGAATGAGCTGGACCATGCCATCATCTTTTTTTTGAAGGACTTATTGTGGTGCTGGGAGATTCAAGGCATGTCAAGATTGGCTAAAGATGTTTGGAAGACAATCCCGGCTGCTATAATTAATACCATTTGGGGGAGGAAAGAAACAAAAGAATTTTTCAAAACTGCTCCAAGGAAGTCTATAGTTTAATCACCATATCCTATGGAAGGCTAGTCTCTTGGACAGCTGCTGTAAAAGGTCTCCAAAGTAGGGTGCTTGGGTTGCAACTGGGTTCTTGTAGTTTATTTGAGTTGTAATTCTGTTCCTAGGCCCTGGTTCGGGTCTATTGCTCCTGAATAGGGCGCTTTGTAATCTTTGCCTCCTCTTAATAAAATTACATAACCTTAAATGCGTACTTAATGAGAGGGAATTGAATTAGGTGAAAAGTATAAGTTCAAATGTCCTCAAAATTAGAGGGGGACCAAATTCAAAGAAAGGGGTATCTTAGTCAAGGATAAAATTTTCACATAATTCGTACATTAATAGTAGTATAGATATAGATATTCAATTTGGAGGTAGAAGGGGATTCTACAGTAGTTACAAGCTAGATGAGGAGAAATTCAAAAGGAACATGGCAACATTGATAAACTCTAAGACATGTCTAACTCAAGCAAGATTATTAGGAGTGGCATGGTTATGGACACATAGGGCAGCAAACAATGTGGCTGATACTTTGTCTAGAGTCTAGACAAGTTGTTAAGAAAGAAAAATTGTTTTGGGGGTTACCTTGTAACATTTCTGAGATTTCTCCATGGTGAAAAGTTGAGGTAGCATTTTCTTAATAAAAGTGCAAGTAACCTTCCAAAAAAAAGAAAAAAAAAACACACTGGGATGGAATGGACTGAATAACCATGTAATTGACTATATACATGTCTGTAATAACCATGTAATCAGCCTTATTGGGAGCTTGTAAAAAATCATTTCGAAGGCCCTAGCTAAAAAGATTGAAAATAGTGTTGTCTATTGATATTTTAGAAAACCAAGGTGCTCTTGCTGATGGTAGGTGTATTGGTGGCGAATGAGCTCATAGATACAAGGAAGAGAAGTGGTAAGGCGGGTTTACTATGCAAAAGTAGACTTGGAAAAGGTCTATGATCATGTAAACTGGCATTTTAGACTACATTTTAAGAAGAACGAATTTTAGTTTGAAGTGGAAAAACTTGATTAAGGTGTGTACTATTACTACCACTCAATTTTCAGTTATGGTTAATGGGGTGGCTTGTTGTAACAACACATGAAAAGTTTAGTAAATCCCATGTCTGACCACTTGGCTCCCACATCATAAAGTTTTTGTAATCAAGAAAAAATCTCCTACAAAATAGAATTGGATTTTTTATCTACTTACAATGTTCTTGAAAAACCAAGTAATAGGTCCTTTAGCTGATATATACAAATCTCCTATTTTGTTTTGACAAGTAGAAGGTTTCTGTTTAAAAATGATGTGGGTTACCATTCCAACACTTTAGCTTTGCTAGTATGTCACACATTTATAAGGTTTCTTATGACATTTATAATTCTTTCTCTTTATCACAGGATTTTGGAATCAAATACAACATGGAGAATGGTGGGCCTGCTCCTGAGGCAATCACAGATAAGATCTATGAGAATACAAAAACAATAAAGGAGTACTTCATTGCAGAAGACTTACCAGATGTATTAACCAAAGGAAGATTTTTTCTATTCCTTAAGTTTCTTCACTGCAGTTTCCTAATCATGTTTTTATACTGCTATTTTCAACAAATACTGTAGGTTGATATTTCTAGCATAGGTGCTACAAGCTTTGGGGGGCCTGAGGGACAATTTGACATCGAAGTTTTCGATTCAGCTAGTGATTATGTGAAACTGATGAAGTAAGCAATCTATTCCTTAAGTTTCATTATACTGAACTTGCTATATTTGCTTGTTCCCTAATAATCATGCTTGATTGTTTTTTTAATTAACAAATAATGCCAGTAGAAGATCAAGACTGTAATCAGTCTTGAATCCTAATAGATTTTAGGTTTACAAAAGCAGAAGAAAAGTGAGAGAAAGGAGAAGGAAGAGAAACAGGAGAACAAGGGGTTGAAAGGAGGGACAGATTCTAACACATCTGCCGCTGCCACTCTCTTAGTATTTATAGGTTATGTTTAGTACATAAAGGAAAGGACAGATCTGCCCTTAGTACTTACATGATAAATAAAGTAAATAAAAAACTGAAATAAATAACAACTGAATTAACAAACTGACCCAAACTGACACTACTATAACTGAAACAAATAACTACACATGCTGTCCTACGAACACAGTGGGGACCACTGCTGTGGGGCCCACATCAGTGTTCTCTACAATGCCTGATCTTTTTTTTTGATTGGCAAGAAAATTTAATTCATTAAGTTAAAGAGAGAAAAAAGTACAGTGGTGAAATGGCTGCCAGCCCAAACAAAAAACAATTACAATGAAGACCAAAACAATTGCTGTCTCATGACCCCCTATCTAGCAAGAGTATCAGCCATCCCATTTGCAGTCCTTTTAACCCACTTGAAATCTGCATTTAAAATCTTGACAATATTTTCCACTTCACTAAAGGCATGCCTGAAAGTCCACGAAACATGACTGCTGAAACAAAAGAATAGAAGATTAATAAATGGGGTAAGGATTCACTACTAGCCTTGGACAGAGAGCACATATGATGGGAGAGGCACACATTAGGCCTTCTTCTCTGCAGGAGATTAATAAATACTTGTGATCTGCATAGGACTGTTGGGTAGGCTATTGGCACTCCTTGGTATCCAGCTGAATGAGCATTTCAGATTGGTTGCCAATGTCATAGCTTTTCTTATTTGATTTCTTAGAGTCCAGGGACCTTCAGCCATTGCCTTGAAACCAACGAATCACAATCTGACAATCACCTTCCACATTTAGGTTGCTCCACCCCCTTTCTGATGCTAGAGGGTTATTGTATTATTTGTTTATTTCCTTGTATTTGGGCTTCCCCCATGTTTCTGTTGTTCTATTTTGGAGGATAGAACTTTATCTTATGCTTGTTTGTCTACTCTTCTGTGTCTCCTTGATAAGGTTTGGCTGGATTCTTCGAAACCTGGTAAAAGGATTTGGGCCATTCACCCCAATGGGTCTTTTTCTTGTGGCTCCTTTTTCAAGTTCCTTTGCCAAACTTCCTCTCAACAAAGTTTCCCTTCCAAAGAAGTCTGGTGTAGGTCGGTCCCCCCCAAGGTTATGGCTTTGTGTTGGGAAGTGTGGCATGGTAAAGTAAACACGATGGACAACCTACAAAAGAGAAGGCCCGTCCTTTGTATTTCACCAAACTGGTGCATTCTTTGCAGATCTCATGGTGAGAATTGTAATCATCTATTTTTATCTTGTAGTGTAACTACAGAGCTCTGGGTTTGGCTTCTATCTTTGTTTGGGTATAGTTGGGATATGCTAGCAGAAGTAAGCACAATTTTTAACCCTTCTTTATTCTCTTGGCCCTATAAAAGATGAAGGAAAATGTGGAGATGCTCGTGAGCAGCATTGTTATGGACAGTATGGGAAGAAAGGAATGCCAGGATCTTCCAAGAAAAAGGAAGAAACAGTCAAGCCTTAAAGGACTGCATTATGTCCAGGTCAATACATTGGTTAAAGACTAGAATTATTTAACCATTTCTCTTTTACTGATTGTTGGAAGGATTGGAAGTTGGTAGCAAGCTGTTCCTCCTACAAGGTAAGGGTATTGACTAGCTGGGTCCCCCCTCCTCTTGGTTCTTTGAAGCTGAATTTTGATGGGAGTAGCCAGGGTAACC